TAATTACGAACTATCCAACGAGTCCAATATTGATATACTAAAATTAGCTTTATCAAAATCTAATTATTTGACCCAAATAAAAATTGAAATTAATATTATTTCACTTTAGTTACTCAACTCTCAAAATTATAAACAAATATAGCATATGGAACAAATAAATTTTTATTTTAGAGAATTTTCGGGTGTTACAAAACAAATGGTATAGGAACCTGAAAAATCAAGATCCCTCCTGAACAAACAAGAACTATGACCAACAATATCTATAGAAGTAATTAAAAATAGAAAAAAAAAAACACATTGGTTGATAATTTTATTTAATTAATATGAAAATCAAGCACAGAGAATTGAATATCTTCATTCTATAGCCACGAAAAAATGAAGAAAAAAAAAAGAAGAAGGAAGAGATGGAAACAATTGGTAAAGAAAATGGAAAACACCACATACAATAGATCGACAATGACAAGTTAAAACGTAGAATGGAAGATCGATAGTGGCGGGCCGACGATGATTTGATGTCCGATTCGAGAGACTGTGAGAGCAACAGAGAAATGAAAAATTGAGAATTAAGGTTGTTCCAAAATTATTTGGGTACTTATAACGTACAATTGAATTAAAAAAAAAATAGTCAAGTTGGATGGTTTATATCGGGTTTTATGGATTAACCCAAAACTCGACCCAACCTAACACACTTAGCTTAACCATTAATCGAACCCACCAAAAAAACTGCAAAAAATCAACCCAACCCGGTTGGGTCTGGTTCGATCAGGTTTTGTCAATCCCTGCTATTGATCACGCGACCTTTCGATGTTAACGGCATAAATTCGAGCCAAATTGTTCAATTGGCCTCTAAAACTCAAGCTCTTTTTGATTTTCAAATAATTGTATTTAGTTAAGTGGTATTAAGCATCCGTCTATCTAATAATGGTTATGCAGCTACTAAAGTGCATTGCTTTAATTTATTTTTATTTTTTTCCCTTAGAAAAATCAATCAAAAAAGAAAAGAAAAAGCAAACAATTGTTGGACTTGGTGGTCAATTTGACCTGATCAACCTTATTAGGAAGTAGGGAAATGCTAGAGGTACATTAAGTCATCCATAATGCTGTTCATAATGCCTAGCTGGCGGTATTTTGAAATGGGTAATTCAACTTCTCACCACTGGAAAGTCAAAACAAAACAAAAAAATAAAACTCACTTTCCCTTTCAATTAAACCCACTTTCCTTTTCAATTATTTCACATTTCCTTCCTTCCCTCCCAACTCTCCCGCACCAAACCCTCCGTCATTCCAAATCTCCCACTCCCGACGCATCTGACTCAATCCGACCCTCACGCATGAAATGGATGATTTATCGGAGCAATTTCTTTCATTATTCGATGAAACCGCCGGTGGATTTGAAGAAAAATACTTTAATTCAAATGGTATTTTTTTTCCCTTCAATAACTGGCTCAAATGATATTTTTTTCCTTCCCATTCGAAATGTAATACTATTCTTGTACTCATGTTATTAATATATGATTCTCCTTCTTCCTCCGTCTCAACCGAGAAGGATACACCAAAGAATGGAGAGTCACATAATGTTTCCAGCTACATGGTCGACAAGAACTCGGATCAC